CTAAAATATTAATTATTATTCAGAACGAGCCGTTTAAGTTCTTCAGGTACGTTTAATTTTCATTGGTTTATTCTGTTTTTTTCCAAAGTTTTAGAATTGGAATTGAAAAAAGGCAGAAATTAAAATAATATTTGAGGATAAACAAGAACAAACAAAAAAACAACTAATAATATTCCTTTTATTTTACATCTTGCCAAATTTCCTATTCTCGAAAATACAAGTTATAGTCTTCTCCATCTAAAGTCTACAATAACGATATTTAATTAGAATTATAAAAAAGTTAACTAAAATTAAATCTTATACGTATATACACCAAATAAAGAAATTTAATTATTTTATGCGGTTGAAATGGTTAGTTTTCAAGTATGCACTCATCGATTATAGTTTAAACCGTTGAATAAGTCTTCAATTAGTGACTGATAAAATAAGATGATTTTGAATTTTTGGTCTGGTTAAAGACATATGACTTTCCTCCATTACCTCTATATCCTCCACTGTTCCCTCTTTTGAATTTTTGACCTTCATGTCTGTCTCTAGACTGCTGTCCTGCATGATTCGACCTGGATTGGTTTTCTTCATTTTGATTTTGAGTGGGAAGTAAGAGAACATAAATATTTGCTTTATCATTTTGACCTTTATAATTATCTCTTGATGTATGCCTAAATGACTCTTGATCGTATCCCGAAGAGCTATGGTCATCGCCAATAGGTTGTTGTTGATCATGATCAGAATAGCTATGCTGATCATATCCTGATGATTTTTGCTCAGCATATCCTAAAGACTGTTGACTATTTTTAAAGGGTAGTTGGCGATTATACCCTGAAGGTCTTTGACTATGTCCAATAGACTGTTTTCTATATCTAGAAGACTGATGACCATGACTAGAAGATCTTGATTCACCATACCCTGTAGACTGCTGTTGATCATGTACTGTTTTAGGTTTGCCCTTTTGATCAAGTGTAATAAGAAGTACAGGAACATTTTGCGGTTGGTTTTTTTCCTGATGCTGCTGACCATGTCCTGATTGCCGAGTTTGTTTGTCGTCGGACTGGTGATTTTTACCGTAACCAACTTGTTGGTTTTGTCCATAACCAGACTGCCGTTGTTGGCCATCATGCGACTGTTTCTGCTGTTGATCATATCCAACTTGTTGGGTTTGTCCATAGGCAGACCGCTGTTGTTGGCCATCACGCAACTGTTTCTGCTGTTGACCATATCCAACTTGTTGGTTTTGTCCATAACCAAACTGGCGTTGTTGCCCATCGTGCGACTGTTTCTGCTGTTGAGCATATCCGACTTGGTGGTTTTGTCCATAACCTGACTGCCGTTGTTGGCCATCATGCGACTGTTTCTGCTGCTGATCATATCCAACTTGCTGTGCTTGTCTGTAACCAGACTGTTGTGGGTGGCCATAATTTGACTGTCTCTGCTGATGGACGTAACTTGGGTGTTGAGCTTGTTTTACAGTTCTCTCTGGAAGATTTAAAATGAGTATTAAACTTTCGGGTTTTTCGGAAGCCAGTTTCTTACCATTAGCTCCTTGTTGCTGAGTTCCATGCACATTTACTTTATTGTGTCCTCTACGATAAGACTGACCATGATCACTTTTCTGTATTGGATCATGTTCATTTTGATGTTTCTGACCATATCCACTTAACTCAGATTGGCCATAACTATTTTGTTGGATTTGACCAACTTCACTTTGAAGATTTCCGTACCCCCTTTCTTCGTTGTCTACTAGTAGGGTAACAATTATTGGTTTTGTTTCTTTACTCTGAAGTTGGTACGAAGGGGCATGGTCATTTGGTACTGATATATGCTCATATCCTGTTGGTGCTGCAAGAGCTATAGGAAGCAAACTCAATATCCACAATAATATCTACAATAGAAAGAGAAAAAAACCTTGAAAAAACACAACAACAAACACACACAACTTAAGTGAATACTTAGAATAAAACAAATCTCAATATTGTAAGATAGGTCCAGCATTTATTTTCAAGTGTATGGAGCCTTCTATGATAGCACAAATACCTATATTTTCATTTTGGTTAATTTATAAGTAATAAAACCACATACTACAAACTTTGCAGAATACAGAGTTTCGTGTACATTATACTGAAATTATTTTAAATATGAAAATCAACAAGTCACGTGAAAGACATAATTGATGTAAAGTCGCAGTGGAATGGCGAGTATTAAACCTACACTTTGACATTCTTTGGAATTCGTAGGTAGTATGATGCCACCAAAGGTTGAGTGCTTTTGGGAATATTATATAACAGATTTTCCCAATGCAAAATATTCATATAATCAAATCATGAAGATGTGTTCAGATCGATGATTTAGAATTTACAACACAGGGATGTCCTTTTACTTAAGAGCATTGGAAAACAAAGGAATATGGATCAATTTGGGTAAAAGGACCCTTCAGATATAGACCTGCAACAAATCATATCCCAGCCATGGTAAGCAAAGTGTAGTGAGAATCCATGAACACAAACTTCAGTAGCAAAAGCCGTCCATGTTTCTCAGGAACAGTACACAACATGATTAAGAATGAAGTCAGTCTGGAAAAATGACGGGTACTTATGCTATTCCAAATGAAGACATACTGGTCAAGTCACCGGAAGCAGCACCTATGGATTTCTATGTACTAGTACAAGCAAGTGGTTAACATGTCGGACTGTGGCCAAAAAGTCTAAGACTCAGGCTGTAATATCCTATTGAAAACGCTCCAAACTACACAATTGGAGCATTATAATCTTGACAGCAATCCCGCTATACAGTTTAGAGTAGTCGTCTAGGCGGCAGGTGCTGTGAGTGGTTGTCCTTTCTCTGGTCAACAGTCCTAAATTATGGATAGCTATGTTTGAACTTTAGGCCGTCTGGCCCAGTTGCTTATTCAGTGAGTAGTAGAATGTGCCGTTCAGGCCGTAAATACTAAAAACAAACAATAATAGTTGTTTAAGTATGTATCGAGGGCTTGGCTTAATGGACTACGGATCGAATGGTCCTAGGTTCGAGATGTGATATCACTCAATAAACTCCCCACTTTCATCTGTGGACGCATTATAAAATCGACATTCAATCTCGTTTTTTGCTTCACAGATCGGGGGTAATGCCAGTATGGCGCAGGTGGGCCTAGCTGCCTCACCTTCAGCTGGCGAGTAGTTCAAAATTATGAACGATTATACCTGAACTTTATGGTTTTATGGCCTGAATGTTTAGTCCCTATGTGTTTAAGATGCTGTTTAGTTGAAATCGCAATTCTACTAGTTATCAAAACAAATATTGCTGTTCATATCTGCTCTTTAAGATAATTCATGTTGCTGGAAAATAAAGTTTAATGTGTGAAGATCTACTTCATTTCTTCAAGCACTTCTCATTTGGAGCACTAGCAAACACGCTGTACAGACATCAAACATTTCTTATTTGCAGCACTAGTAAACACGCTGTACAGATATCAAGCATTTCTCATTTGGAGCATTAGTAAACATGCTGTACAGATACCAAGCACTTCTCATTTGGAGCATTAGTAAACATGCTGTACAGATATCAAGCACTTCTCATTTGCAGCACTAGTAAACATGCTGTACAGATACCAAGCATTTCTCATTTGGAGCATTAGTAAACATGCTGTACAGATACCAAGCACTTCTCATTTGGAGCACTAGTAAACATGCTGTACAGATATCAAGCACTTCTCATTTGGAGCATTAGTAAACATGCTGTACAGATATCAAGCACTTCTCATTTGGAGCGCTAGTAAACACTCTGTGTAGATATCAAGACTTCTCATTTGAAGCACTAGTAAACACGCTGTGCAGATATTACGAACATATTCATGAAATTATAAAAACAAACGTCGTTATTAAAACTAAAAAAAAAACTATTAAAAACATAAATTATTATGTTTAACATATTTAAAGGCTTAGCATTTATTGTTTGGGAAAGTTAAATTCGAATTTAGATATTGCAAGTATGCAAACTTTATTATTTGATGCAGTGTGCTTATTGAGGTTTATCTTTTATGTTTTTTTTTTCTTTAAATGTGTCCAAGCTTTGCATAGCTCAAATATAACTCGATAATTGAAAACTAACTGAGACTGAAATACTTCAATATAAAATAAGACTAATAAACCTAATTGCCTGTTGTCCTTTATTTTTTTTCCATTTCGCCTTTTGGCTGAGTGGCTTTGTGAACGAGTGCATTGTCTGACCCATACTAGTGACTCTTCACGCACGCTTATCTGGATCAAAATAACTGTTCATGTGCTACAGAAGTTATTGACCTATATGGTGTAGTAGAGGGCTTGATCTTCACAACCTGCAAACACGGTGAATTGTCATGAAAACTGTATAGTCTTTGTCTGGGTTTATTGTTTGTTTATGAAGGCTTGTTTCCATTGACGTAGATGTGCTGGGGAAATTTCTCTTTTTCAACCTACATATGACTTTTTTTTAATATTAAGAAGATTTGCCTTTTATGGTTGCTGATATATAATGCATTACGACTGTAAAAAAAATTAATCTTCTTACTTATCTATTAAGATATTTTTGAGTGCATGTTTCTCCAGGCCTAAAGAACGTCTTTGGTGTCCTTGAGGTAGAAGAATAGAAAATTAATAATTTATATTGTTTCTATTTTTTCTCAGATAATTTTTCTCTTTCGTGTCAAAGAACAAAGAGAACGTTTGGTAATACGCACTTACTTTAGATGTTATTTTAGCACAAAGCTGCACATAACGCTATCTGTGCTCTGTCTGCCGCGGAGAATCGAACCATGGATTTTAGAGGCGTAAATACATAAACTTATCGCTTACCCACCAGGGATCCTTACTGTAAGAAATATATCAAATTTCTGTAGCATTTGTAGCGGTGGCTGAACGATAAGTCTGAAGACTTGTATCTTTACGCTAAAAATCGGGTTTCGATACTTGCAATACACAGAGCACAGATAGCCCATTGTGTAGCTTTCTGCTTAAAAATAAACAATGTACCAATTAATTTTAGTATGCTATATCTCAACTTTGCTTTGTGCTTCATGTTAAGTACTTATGCAGACATATTTTGATTTCACAAATAATAAATTGAACTTAAGCATTACAGCACTGTGACGTTGACAAGCTAGGCAAAAGCGCTTACGTTCACTGTGGATTTAATTAATCTTTCGAAGGTTTCAAACCTGCTACAAAAACATTCTCCACATCATTACTCCTCCTATAGCATTTTGTACTGTTGAAACAACAAAAGTATAGTTAATTTCCTTGTGTTAAACTTCACAGTTTCACGATACTGTTAGTACAGAAAAGGATGAAACAGCATTACTCGCTCCAATTCTGAGAAACTATATAACATTTTCCATTTGAATAAAAGTTTGAAAAAGTTTTGAAGAAAATCAGGCACACAATTTTCTTAACTCATTACGGAAAACAGTATAAACATATTGGTTACTTTTAATGATTAGGAAGATTCCGAAAGTTCAATGTTTTAGCTGATAAATGGTGAAGTTTAGAAGTTTTTAAATGTTAACTTAGTTTGTTGTAACGATTTTTCTAGTTTTGTCAATCATTTTTTCAGTATATTGAGATACCCGTTCAAATATTTAGCAAGAAGAATACAAATATTTAAAGTGGTGTAGTGTGACCGTAGACGAAAACATAACTTTTCAAGAGGATAGTGAAACAATTTTACGCTATTTATATTTTGGGCTCTAAGAAAAACAAGAGTTTATGCAAATCGTGCAAAAACAATATTTGTGCATTGAAAAAATCTACAAAATAAGTTACTTGCATGGATTGATTCGTTCGCTAACGAAACTAAATTAGTTCGTAAAGTTTACTTTCAAATAATAGAATTGAAATTATTTCAAAATGTTTGTAAAGAGTAATTAGTTTAAGCCAATTTCATGTGATAATTTCTTCATTACTGGAAAACCGAAGATCTGGTTGTATTTCAGAAGTCTCTACACAAACTCAGCATTCCGAGTGTTTGAAACATTAAATTGGATGAAAATACGTTAAGCGTTTCTCATTGATATTTGGTTCACGTTTGCAAATCCTACTGTTCGTGATGTAAAATTATTAGACCACTATTATACTGGAGAGAAGAGGCTCTTGTTTATTCGACGGTACGTGCTCCTAGTGATTATATTTTCTATTGTCAGAGACAACCCATTTTAGTTCATTTGTCTAATGATATAACATCTAAGTTTCTTGAAACTATTATTTCTATTTTTGACAAATATACTATAGTTTTTCCATGTTAAACATTTCAACGACATTATAGAAAATATTAAAATAGTTTAGTCGGAAAAAATGCTATGGTTGCGTGTCCAAAAAAAGATTATTAAATGCGAATTATTAGATGGCTTTAAAGATGGGACTAGGGTGATTCGAGTGGGTTGAAAATAGCCATTATACAGTACCAAACTACATAATGAAACAATAGCTACATTAGATCGTTGACTTGAAACTGTCAATTAAATGTAGTTTTGTTTATTAAACAACATTAAAATATGTAAATTTCGCATGCACTTTGTGAAAATAAATTAAATAATAGAGTACTGTACTTTGTCGATAAAATTAGGCTTATGAAAAATATTTATCCCCTACTGGCTCAGATGTAAGTCTGCAGGCTTACGATGCTAAAAATCGGGTTTTGAGAATCGTGGTGGGCAGAGCACATATAGCCCATCGTGTAGCATTTTGCTTAACAACATCCATATTCTTTTTAAGATACTTAAATTTGGGTTGGAATGTTTGGAATGGAAGGTTTGCAATAACTATAAAAAAGTGTTATAACTAGAAAATATGTAAGAGAAAACGAAGGAAACAAAATATCTAATTAATATACTTATTTTGCTTATTTCCGAATTCTGATATAATTTCAGTGCATTTTATACTATTGTAAATTCTGGTACTTCTTTTATCAAACGCAAAAAGTAATTATGACAATAAAACTGAAAATACTTGCCCTCATTCTTGTCTTTAACATAAACAGCCCCCGTTTTTCTGAGGTGCAGAAAGAAGAATGTTTTCTTTTTTGCTGATCCCGTCCCCGTCTTATATACCTGTGGGGCGAACGATTACGCCAATGATACGCTACAATCCTCAAGTATTTTAAAACGAACGCTCGTATTTGCCGAGGAGGAAGTGAAGGAGGAAGGGAATGGAGGGGGGGGGGGGTATTTTGAACCCACTTACTCTCTGGTTAGTCGCGTTCTTATCTATCCAATGACCAAATCAAAATGTGGGTCAGTTGGACGAACGTTGAAAACAATATACAGTAAAGTTTTAACAGTGACCCGTATATTTTGTCTCGTACATCTTTGAAGCAACTTCCGTTCGTAGTTGCGTGCTTGAGGCATTTTTAATATTGCTCCAGTATTCACTCAAGTAACCTGATTTTTTTTTTTACCTGTGAGACCATCTAAGCCTACTTGCTTCAAAGCATTTATCATCGACATCTCTATCACTGTATTGTAAAACTGAGCATTACAATAGATCAGCAAACAGAAGTATCTCTTTTAGTTTGAAAGGTACATTTAAAAACCTTGATAATCTCATACTAATAATTGCTTTCAAAACCTTTAACATTATCATTTTGAATGATTTATAACAGAAATTGATCTTCTCATATTCAATGCAATAATAAAATGCTTCACGCTGACCCGAGCCTCTACCAGTTTAATGGTCCACTGTCTTGTCTGAGGATTAATTTTTCAAACAAAATCTGCGAACAAGTCTTAACTAACTAGGTTAAATGAAAAAACAACAACTTATTTTTACTAAGTACAAAATAATTTGCTATTAACTCCTAAATAATCGCTACAGATCAGCGTGCAACAAGTATGTTTTAATTACAACGAGGGCCCGGCATGGCCAGGTGGTTAGGGTGCTCGACTCGCAATCTGTGGGTCGCGGGTTCGGATCCCCGTCACACCAAACATGCTCGCCCTTTTAGCCGTGGGGGCGTTATAATGTGACAGTCAATCCCACTATTCGTTGGTAAAAGAGTAGTCCAAGAGTTGGCGTTGGGTGGCGATGACTAGCTGCCTTCCCTCTAGTCTTACACTGCAAAATTAAGGACGGCTAGCGCAGATAGCCCACGTGTATCTTTGCGCGAAATCCATAACAAACAAACAAATTACAACGAAAACGGAAAGATAAATTATTTAATATAGCCAAGAAACTTTCACCTCAATACAATTCTATAAATCATCATGTCATTCATTACGTGCACGTTCCACGTGTTGTGAGAATGTGCGACTGTTCTGAAGAAGTTCACTCGTGCTACTTGCCCTGTAAAGATAATGGTTCCATTTCGTCCATGATTTGATGTATTGATTTGATGTTATTGTAACTGCTTAGATTCTGGTTAGTACTTCCATATAACTGAGAGACAATTTTACGTGCTAAAGGTAGAGAGAAGTTTTTTTTACGGAAACTCTGACTATTAAAACTGCTTAAATGCATGAAAGTAGACAGACACAAAGATGAGCAACAACTCATTTTGTGTATCTAGGTGTGCACTGAAAAGGCTGTAGATGTGCTTCAGACCACACGTATCATTAAAAACTGACAACACACTACATATGTACTCAATATAGTCTTCAGAACAGCAACTGGAATGATTATCACGTGACTACACGACTTATTTATATCACTGATTGTCATAAACGAAGTGAAAGCAATAACTAATGCTAATTTTTCAGAAACATGTTTTTATCGCGATTTAGAGCAATGCATCAAATTAAAGAGAAGGATTACGCACCATGAAGAATTTGGCCATAATTCATATTTGGTATAAATATTAAAAGATATGAATCTGTGTTTACCTCCACATAAATTACACCTGTGAGAAAAGAAATTCAGTTGTCAAAATTATTGTATTTTTTAAACACAGCGATAACTGAAACAGTGAAAATACATTATGGGTGCACTGTGCAGGATGGCTATTTTTTCCTCGTTTTGCGGATGTTTTTCTTGTTTAAAAATCAAAGAGAAGTATTTTATCTAAGTTTTGAAGTTGAGTAGAAAGTAATTATTTCAGTTACTTTTTTGTTGGGCTTAATTTGTTTTTTCATGTACCAGTCCTGAGGGAATAAATGAAAAAATGTAAATGACTTTATAAACTTTAGCAGCCTCCCAGTGACTGAAGGGTTACACTAAAAATCGGGTTTCGATACCCGTGTTGAGCATGGCACAGATAACCAGCTGTATAGCTTTGTGCTTAACGACAAACAAACAAATCTTTAGCTTAGCCTATAACCAAATTTTCCCAACTCAAAACTGACCTGAGTAGCTAGGCAGTTTTAAGGGACCCATTTTAGAATAATTATTTTATAAATAACTGTACAGTGTCTTGTAATGTAACTTACAATTTGGGAACTGTTACCTTATATTTCTTTCTTATAACTAAATATTTAATATGTGATTCAAACATAATTCAACATGGATAGGTTAGATACCTAAGATTACTGAGCTATGACTGTAGTGTACAATATATGCATAATTCACACGGTCTACACAGTAACTGATATTGTAAACACATCGTATACACTAAGATATAATAGCGGTACTCTTATTTCAATATTGTTGTTTTTTCTTTTAAGCATATTACAATGTGTAACCAATCATATACAATCGCATACACAGAATTGTAAAACGCTCCATTTATACGCAAAATAGACGGATCACGTAAAGTTTCTGGGGATTACGTGAGTCATATAAAGGTAGGTATGTGGCCATATCATGGTTTATTTTTCAAAAAATACGAATCACGTAGTCTTTCAAATGGGCATGGCAATGTATATCAGTACAGCAGAGTATATCAATAGTATGAATCAAAATGGAAGACGTTTGTATATAAGAAGAGTATGGCCGACAACCTCTGATGACAGACAAGGTGAAACGATAATTAAACAGGCTTGTAAAATGCAACAAACGCCAGATGTGTGCCATTTAACCAATCCTTTCAAAAATGAACAGGACGTAACTATGTACAAATCTATTGTTAGTCGACAATCAATTGAAAAACACATACATCAGAAAAAACGAACAAGCAGGAAAATATCACACTTAACTGTGTTACAAAATTGAATCGAGTTAAAAAAAACTCGTTTATTGAAACGCAAATATTATTGTTGCGCTTATTCAAAAAACATGTGGGTTTATAAGCACTGAATGTTTCTGACGTTACCTAAAAGCCAAGCAAAAGTTATTCTCAAATTTAATTTAGAAAAAAAAATGAACTAAATTTATAAATTACGCTTAATTGTTATAACTGCATCAATGACATTAACATTCATTGAAAATATGTCTATCCGGCCTTTTAAAATTATTTTAGCATTTTAAAAATTATTGTTGATTTTGTTACTAATACATTTTTAAAACGCTGAAGTTAAACAATAATTCCTGCGAATCTACTGGTACCGGAAACGTTAGTGCATTTACAATTGTATGAAAGTTGTGGATATTTCAAGTAATGTATAGTGCTATACATTTTACCATGTACACATTGTAATCCTTTGTAACTAACAACTTTGTAGATTATTCACTGAAGAGCCCGTGAAGAAATGACCTATCTTTATACTACAAACCAGTGTAGTGTTCAGGGTCTGTGTACCTTTTGTCATTGGTTTTTACACACCACGCTTATGATGAATATTGATTGTTCTTGCATTCACAAAAAGTTACAGCTGATGACTGTATACTGAGTATTCTCAGGCAGCAATTACAATAATGACACAATTCTGTCTGCTTATTTCTCCCTTAGGTACATTTTGAAATAATTTCTGTGTTCTTTGTTTGTTTCTTTGTAGTTATACAAAAACTACATAATGGGCTATCTGTGCTCTGCCACCACAGATATCGAAACCCGGTTTCTAGCGTTGTAAGTCCGCAAACATACCGCTGTGCCAATGGGAGACATTTCTGTGTGCAGTAATTATTATTTTGAAAATACAATACGGTTTTTCAACTTTCTTGTTGATGGCACAGCATGGTGGATTAAACTATTTTTGTAGTGGAACGCATTCATAGTTTTTTCTATTCTGATAAAATCCCCCACTCCAGAAATTGAGATGAAGTCCCTATTTCTAAACAGTTCCAAATATGTCTCACTGATATCTGTAAACAGTGTTCTTCTTCGTCTGTTTCCTCTTAGATCCATATATTTTAAATTTTGATAAGTTAAAACAAATAACATTTTCCACACTTTTGCTGTCCAACTATCATGCATTCGACCAAATTTGAATCTTTTAGTTTAGTAAATATGTAAAAAAAAATTATTTACTGCAGTGCACCCTTTTAATCCTGATTTAATTCAATGACGATAAATAGTGCATAAGACGATTTTTTCCAAGAGTATTTTACAGTTATTTTGCTCAAAGGCTGCTGCGAATTTCCTTCTGCCTTTAATGATGTTGGCTTAAGGTATTATACATCCAATTTTCAGAGTTTTCTAGAGTGTTAGGGTGCGTTCGTCGGTTTTTAATCAGTAGAGTAAAATCCATGATACTTTTTAAGATATTTGAAAGAAAAACAACAATAAAAACTGTTAGTGAAACTCTTTGTTTCAATAATAAGTTCACGCTGACTGTAGCATTATTTATATACACCTGGAAAAAAGTTAAGCACCCCCAAATATTTTTCAGGATTGCTTATTGAAAATAAGGTTTAATTTTCATGATGTTGAGCAATGTTCATAATTTCAAACGTAATTAAAAGGATGTGAGAGTTCAGGTGTGACATTTAAATCAGGCGCGTTTTTTC